TTCAACCTGGTATTTTTTTTAGATTTTATTTTTCATTCTTTTCGTCTGTTTTTTCGAGTTTAAAAAATGTGAGCTGGCTGGAACCTTCATCCCTTGTCTATTTTTCTTACACTAGATACCAGCACTAGATACAGTTGATTATAGTTCCTAGGCTTCCTGTGGAATTACGGGAAATTTACAACGTTAAAAACAAAACAAAAAATCTATCTTGCCTGTAACTCGAAGTTCGGTTAACTGTTAATTCAAGTTCGAGTTCCTAAATGTGGACGTTCAACAAAAACAAAAATATAGGATGCCCGTAACTCGAAGTTCTGTTAACTGTTAATTGAACATAAAGTTACAATTTGGGCGTGGTTTCGCAGAAGTGGGCGAGTTTTTTTGAAATATTGGCGTAGTCCTATTTGTAACTCGATATTCGTAACTCGATGGCCGTAACTTGAACAATTCAGCATCTCATTCACTCTAGACAAAATAATTAAAAACACATCGGCGTACGCTCTGATGTGGTTCCATGGGAAATCGAACGCGAAGTCATGTGTTGTGTACGTTTCCTTGAGAAATCGAACGCGAAGTCACGTGTTGTGATGCGTTTCCATGGGAAATCGAACGCGATGTCACGTGTTGTGATGCGTTTCCATGGGAAATCGAACGCGATGTCACGTGTTGTGATGCGTTTCCATAGAAACATTGAACTCTAAGTCACGTTCTACGTTGCTAAGACGCGCACCACTGTACCACGTATTTCTATGGGCTTTGTGCGCGCTGCTGTGGAACGCCTGTGGAGCCGGTGAAAACTCGAGAAAACAACACAAACTCAACTTTGAAGTAATCCTGAAAAACCAAATTCATATATGTTACACACGTAGGGCTAATCTTGTTACACTGTTCAGGGCACTCTCAACAACCATCGCAAAGTACCGTTTTCTGTGAGTTTTTGGTCTTTGTTTTCACCGTGAAGGTTGCCAGGCGGTAGAAAATGCCCGGATATTAGCCCCCGAGGATAAAGCGATGGATAAACGACACAATCGATCTATTAGTTTAAATTTAAGGTAGCGGGACTATTATTTGCTTACTTGTTTTCATCTTCTAATTGTGACCAAATGACTACAAATAGACCCAGGAAAGTATATATTTTTAGAATCGCCAGACTTCAAGCTTTGCAAAGGTGTGTTTGTCATGCCCGTATCTGCATTCTATGACCCGTTACTTAATCAAAGGTGAAAAATTACTTTTTCTGTAAAAAAAATAATTACGCATTTATGCTGGCGATAAGAAGTATTTTTTTCACTTTTCCTAGTTGTTCAATAGTCTGGTAAATTGAATGTGTCTGGTCAGTTTTATGCAAGCAACGCGTTTTAAAAAATAGTGTGCTGAATTTCAATTACTGTTTTAGTCGCATTGCCCCCAACTCAAACCACAACTCGTTGGTAAATAATCGATGAAATAGTTTGTCTGGACACATTCAAGTTCCTCTCACTGTCACCTTAAAGCTGTGAAAATTTGGTGTTAATCCGACGACAATAAGTATACGTTATTTTTTGTTAAAGACCTTGTATTTTGAAAAACATAAACTCCTAGAAAACGTCCATG